CATACCTTACAATCCACTTTTTAACAGAAGTTACAGCACGACTGGCTTGGACCAAACAACGTATAAACTCAAATCATGCAAATCGTGGCGTATCTCAAAGACAACCTGTGAATAACCCCTCCACTGTCTTTGAATTATCTCTGATGAGACTGGGTATTTTTACCCATAAAATGTTTATCCCATGGGATTAAGTGCCCACTGGGTGGCAGGATAAATATTCCAGTTCATGCAAGAAGCACAGAATAATTCTAGAAAAAAACACATGACTACATTTCTTCCATTGATATCCTGGTTCATGGAAAGAGAGATTTAAACCTTACCCCAACAAGCACTGGGCTGGTAATCCGTTCTGAATTTCCTGATGTGCCAGGCGAATGGGGAGAGGTCATGATGGGAGACATATGCCCAAATGCTGCCAGATCCACTTCAGAATCAGCTAATGGAATCTGGGGCGACCCCGGCGGGCGCCCCTGAACAGTGAGAGCTACATAGGAACCCGCTGCAGAGAGAACAAGAACAATGCGCGTTTCAGACGCACTCGCAGGTTTCTCTGGTTGCCATTTCGCCCTACGGACAAATCTCAGACCATTCTTCACCCATTTGTTCTTCGAGCTAGAGAACCTGAGAGCACTGTCGCCCCTGCTTTACAGTGCTCTGTTTACACTTCAGGTAATCCAAAAACTTCCACGATAAACATCCTTATTAGAAGCATGCAATCCAATTTCTAGTCTATCAGCTTACATTTACAGTATACACATGCTCACACCACAAAATAAACTGCTAGTGCAGAAGGAACCACTACCACCTTCTTCCTTGTACAAGAAAATCAACTAAGAATGCACTTTTAGAAACACCAGTACATTAAGACTGCCTGAATAGCTATGGTATTTAAGGTGGAATCAAAAGATGGGAATATACAAAGGCTATGTATGCAGAAGCATGTATCAGCTCAAGTCCAAGATGTCAAAGTTATCCCAATTTCACTTCACTGTTTCATACACACCCTTCATCTCTAAGCATAGAGCACAGTTAGACCCTGTTCTTGTCACTTCACAGCTGAACCGGTCGTTGGTCCTTTAAAACCATGGCTGTCATGCTTTAAATGTGCACAGTGACAAAAATAGCAACCTGCCTTTACTTACACTTGATCAGCTTTACCACCTCCAAATGGTTTGAGTGTGTTACAAGAGTGCCATTCACCTGGGGGCAGGGAGGAAGGGAAAGATAACAGTGTTTAGCTGCTGTTTCCAACCAAAGGTACCCACACACTACACAACAGGCACGCAGAATGAGGAACAACATTTCTTTCCCCACCCATCTCCATTACTGTGTCTTTCAAACCCTAACAGAAAAACAATTTCTCATTCTAACAGTTGATCTGCAGAACTCTGCAAGGAGAAAACTATACACACATACCAAAGAAACTAAGTAGCCAGAGGGGAAAAAAAATAAATAGCAACCCACCTCTGACTAGGCAGAAAAAAAATAGGGTAGCTAATTCAGCTAATCAATTTAAATGCCTAGTTGAAATCCCAGCTGAATCTGTGTCAGTAGCTGCTGTAGCACAGCCATCGTTTTGCAGCAATACTTTAGTCTTTTTAGTTACTGACTCGATTTCTTGGTTGGTTGGGGCTAAAAGACAACACTGATCTGGGAGCAGTTAGGGGGAACACAGTGATCCAAGAAGACTATTTATTTACGTGTAATTACTCATAACGCTCTCTTCCTTCTCTCCCCTGCCACTTGTATGTTACTTGAACCTTGTAGGACACTGAATTCGTCAATAAAGTTCTGAAATGAGAGTGATTTCCACAACAAAGCTAACATTCAGCAGTGGGCCTTCAGTGGTTACTGCTCTGCTATCCCCAGAACCCATAAACGTGGACCACTCCTCTACCCCACAGGCAAATGCAAACATCACAGCAGACGCATCAATGACAA